GACTCACTCTTCTTCCCCCAACCATCTCACATCACCACCCCAAGAAGTAAAAAAAAAAGGGTGCCATATCATTAAGACAAATATCATAAAAAAGGGGGCCCAGTGACATTATTTTTAACACAGATTCTCTTTCACCAACGATACGGAAAAACTCAAGGAGCGCATAAAAAACAGCAACGGCAAAGATTTCAACAATACAAAAAAGACTTTCGAGGTCGACATGCCTCAGATACGTCTGCCTATCTCTTCTCTCTCTCTTTTCCCACAAACTGCCTGCTCCACCCGTTGTGAATTATCTATCATTTTGATTGTGTGTGTAAAATTCCTCCCCACATCCCCCCTTCATCAACAAAGAGTTTACTTCCCCCGTGGGAAATAAAATAAAATAGAAGAATTAAGAAGAAGAAGAAAAAAGAAGCAAAGATATGATAAACAGTCCGGGTATTTCAGCAAATTCGGCGAGTTGTTTTGGTGTGAGGAGCTTGGAAAGGGCGTAGATGAGGGTTGAGGGGTGATGTCTCCGTATGGAGAGGAGGGCTGTAATGATCCCGAGATGTGGTGTGGGCGAAAGTATCCTCCTTTACCGCAAGCGTGGTATAGCTTGTAAACTCTTAATATCGAGATGCAGGTTCGGGAGGTAGAAAAGAATTCGGGATCGTTTCGAGATAGTGAGATAGTGGAAAGCCCTCGAGGTGAAGACGGGAAACGTCGCATGACTCGCTCCTCGTCTACTTCTTAGCCGGAGTCGGAGGGGCCTTGACATTGTTGGACAACCACGCCAGACCCTCGAGAAGACCCTCGCCTGTGGTGGCGCAGCTGGGCACCACGTACCAAACCTTGTCCTTGAGCTTGGAGAGCTGAAGAGCCTCGGTGACTTCTTGGGGTTTCATAGCTGTACCTTGTTAGCGGAATCGTACAACGGGGTGTCAAAGGGAGACATACCCTCTGCCAAATCTTGCTTGTTGGCAAACACGAGTAGTAGACTGTCCTTCATCTCGCGATCGTTGATGATTCGGTGAAGTTCTTGTCTAGCCTCCTCCATTCGGTTCCTATCAGAAGAGTCGATAACGAAGATAAGACCCTGAGTACCTGCACCCCCAAAAAGCATCAGTATTGACTCCATTCTTCGGGACCGTTATAACTCACCGCTGAAGTAATGCCTCCACAGAGGACGAATCTTGTCCTGGCCACCGACGTCCCAAACGTTAAACTTGACATTCTTGTACGTAACCGTCTCGACGTTGAAGCCGACCGTGGGAATCGTGGTGACGTCCTGGCCCAGCTTGAGCTTGTAGAGGATAGTTGTCTTTCCGGCAGCGTCGAGACCAAGCATGAGGAGGCGCATCTCCTTTGATCCGAAGATCTTGCCCATCATCTTTGAGAATTGGCCGCCCATGATTGCGGCTTGTGTAGAACGTGTCCGGTTATGTTTATTCGGTATGCGCTCGTGGGTGACGGTGGTGTGGTGTGATGTGATAGGAATACAAAGGGAGTTGAGTTGGGTTGCCGTGTCTCGTTTCGAAACCTGTTCGCAGCGCAATGTGTCAGCCTCGCTTCTCGCGTGATACCAATGATACAACAACGATCTCCGATGCAACGAGAAGACAGAGAATGGCGTGTCAGATTACAACAGGTGTTGATTGATGTAAATGTTGCTGTCTGACGTGACGTTTTGTTCGCCAAAGAAAAGCAAAGAGATCTTGACAAAAGAAATCAAGGCTCCAGCTTTCTCGTATCTCCCCGCTGTTGATTCCCACTCTTGTCGTCTCCCGAGTCGCCGTTTGTTGATTGTCGCAGATAGAAAAGACCCTATACATACAATACACCTTGTGCTGTTCGTTGGCGCGTATCGCAACGTTTGTTTGTTTTGTTTTGTTTATCCGTATCGCACGATCGTTTCGACAAGAAGGGCTCCGAAACTTGGCAGTGTCTTTTCGAATGAAGACGTAGACGTAAACGTTGGAATACTACAGTGCCCTCAGAGAAATGGATCTAGTATCAAGCATCAATCAAATCTGGACTCTTCTCTTTTTCCCCCCGTCAGGGGAAAAAAAAAGGGACGGACGGGTCAATCCCTCTTGTTTGCTGCTTCCCTTCCCCTGGCCCTGAGCTCCTCTCGGCCTAGCGCCCAGCACGGGGCAACCACGCGGGCGGGGACAATTGACAGCCCCTCAGGGGGCAAGAAAACACCGAACCTTGATATAAGGTGTCAAAATAAACTCAGCAAAAGACATCCTAAAATTATGTAAAATTACCTAAGTCTTTTTATCACTTAGGGTTAAGGTCCTGGGTTTTCCTTCCTCCCCTAGCAGCCCCAATCCCTTATGACGATAGGCCGCTTGGGTCCCCTGTCCAGTCCCTGAAATGAGATACGGTCACTGTAAGGTACCCGGGCGGTCTGGCCTGGAGTGAGTGACCTGACCTGGCTCAAATTCCAGCCATAAACAACCTTACCGACAACCATCAATCAGTCCGTTTGTCCATGGCAAGGGTCATCAACACTAATAACCTCCGAGGCTCTTCTCATTAGCGTAGGCCTCAAATCACTTCACTTCGGTCCTTCGGTCAACTTCATATCGTGCGTGCCCAATATCAACGGTAATAATACTCGATTGATGCTTGCTATTGCGTCGTAAGCAACTGCTCTATGGACTGTTTTCCTGGATGCCTATCATATCCACTGCAACGCTATCATTAAACGCACCGGAGCATATAACAACTCCTAGCACATATCTCCCGGTGCAGTCGGGCTTATGCTCGGTATTCAATCACAAACCTCCTCTCCACCTGTTGTAGTGTTGAAGAGTCATTCTCCCCCTCAAACTTGAGATTGACCTTGCCGTCGCTGTCCATGCTATGAACCTCCGCCTTGTAGAACGTGGTTGTGTTAGGATACAGTGCTAGCACCACCTTGCCTGATTCCCAGTCCTTCAGCGTCGATGCTTGACTCTCAGGTGTAATGGGAATCATACTGCTGGCACTTGATCGGTACTCCTTCTGTTTGCTCTGGTCTTCGGGTTCTATATCGAGGACCTTGTATCGTCGGCTTTTGCCCTCACCCATCACCTGCGCGACCTCACCGAGTATCCAGTCTGATGTTGTATCCCCATTCAACGCTTTGGGCTTGAATGCAACTGCGTCACCTTTTGAGAAAACAACTTTGGACTTGTTGTTCCCTGATCCGACACCGCTTCCAACTGACCCCTGAGGCTCGACACTATCGGCCTTTGGGGGCATGCTGTCGCGGTCGCGGTCTCGTTCTCTTTCCCTCTCGCGTTCTCGTTCACGTTCTCTTGCTCGATCACCATATTTTCTTGCTGATCCTCCAATTGGACTCGGCACGGGAGAATCACCAGCCCCATCAAAGTCGTAGAGCGAAGATGCTGCCGCCGCGCTGTCTCGGGCATTCCTCTTACCAGGCCCCGCTGCTTGAGCATCCTGCTGTTCCTTGGCGTGCACCACGGCGCGCAACACTTTGAGCTGCTCGATAGTGTTTTTGAGTGCTGACATGTTAGCCTCCGAGTGCTTAACCCCTGTCCGACATAGCTGTTCCATCTCTTTCAACGAGTCACTCGGAATTTTCTCCAAGTCCATCGTACCGACTTGTTTATCCATCGTGACAAGCTCCGTAAGACTGTCATTCTCGGCATTGATTCCGGAGACAATCTCCCCCACTTGACTCTTGCACAGCTCCCATATCTGTACCTCCTCTCCATGTGAATTACCATTGTTGCGGTTGGACGCCCGTCCGCTTCTGTTTCGTTGCGACATCTCGCGGTTGTGGCGCTCCGGCTTCACCGACTCCGGCCGCGGGGTATTATGTTCACTTCTCGGCGACCTCTTCGGCGTGCCCACGTCTGAAGTGATATCCCGACTATGGTTCTTGGTTCTCGACTTTGTCGGGCGGTTTGGGGTGGAATCTCTGCTCGAAGGATCCTGTCGCTTCGACCCTGATCGCTTCGGCTCCGGCGTGTTGGAGGACTGGCGCAGAGACTCTTGAAAGCTATTCTCCCTTGAGTGAGTACCGCTTCGCCTAGGCTTTAGGGGAATCTGGTAGTAGGGTCCGAGATCTTCTTGGAGGTTCTTGAGTTCGTCCCGCGCAGGCTTCTGCCCGTTAGCCATCCTGCCCCGATACCACCGCCTAAACAGAATGTTGCGATGAGAATCAACCCGAGGAAGGAAACATTATGACGACGAGACGACAATGAATAAACGAAAGCAAGCGCAATTGGAAAAAAGAAAAAGAAAAAAGGGAATTGAAGCGCATAAGATTCATGAATTCAATGAGAAAAAATTGGACTAACCTGAGTTAAGAGAGGCCCGAGTGCTCACAGGCCGAGGCGGGATGGTATGGGGAAGGAAAGGCGACTAAGACAGAAGGCGCGTCGCAGATGAGAAGGGATCGGCAAAGTGAGCAAAAGAGGAGAGAGGCTGTGACTGATTTTATAAGTGAATAGAGTTATTATATCATGTCATGAAGTAGAATAGAGTTGAGGTATAATTGAAAGCTTATTATTGTTGGTTCAATAGTGTAATCGTCGGGTATCATGTCGTGTCAATCGTGATGGTGCTTAGTCTTTCTCTAACAGTTGAGGCTGGTGATCCAGTGCCAAGGGAGCATCCTCCGCGGCAGAACAAAAGGCGGTGAGGACAAGTGGTGCCGCATTTGGAGGGGCTTGAGGGGAAGCTTCCTTATCATGACACCGATAAGGGTGTGAATTCCAATTCCAACGATTATTGGCACTGTACAATGACATCTGATTAACTGTAAAGCATGGTGTTGAGATGTAAATGGACAGCATTGATCAGGATTAGAAGCGCCTTCAGGTTCAAACTTACACACCATGTCCCTCGGTCTTCAGGAATAAGGTTAGAGTACAACACACACCCATGCAAAAGTCAATATCGGGCCACAGGAGGCCATCATGAATCTTTATTCCTCATTAAAAGTATATCTACCACAAACACCAATTTTCACACTCATATCATTCCCATAGCATCTATAGCTTCTGCTTCTCAGAATCATCGATCTCACAAAACGCCTTGAACGTCGTAAACTCATCATCCTCGCCCCCCTCACTCTCAAGCACAAGCTCAGCCGTAGCACCCACAAAGTACACGTACCCCTCCTTCATCTCATAGCTCGTAGGCCCAACAGCGATTCTTCCCTTTCCACTCGTGCAGATTACAATGCTAGGTCCCTCAATAGGCTCAAAAGTAGCCTTTGCGCCGTCACCGCGAAGCAGGGTGCGCACGACGCTGAATTCCTCGATGGGCGGGTCGTAGAGCACTACCCCTGAGCCGGAGCTGTAGGCGTTGCGGTTGAGAGTTGCGTAGGGATATTCGGTGGGTGTCATCTTTTGTTGCTCAATGGGCGCAAAGTTGTAGGTCAGCATGTCGACGAGGGTTGAGACGTCCTTGAACTTGGGTGTGAAACCAGCGCGGACAACGTTGTCAGAAGCTGCCATGCACTCCATGATGTCGCCGGAAATGTAGGCGTGAATGTCGTCGGCGACAAGGAACAAAGCCTCACCAGGTTCCAGTGTGACAAAGTTGAGGAAGAAGAGCACAAAGCATCCAATGTCGTCGCCAAACTCGCCGTGTGTTCGCTTCACAAGCTCAGCGAGCTTCTCGCCAGAAGTAGCAGGGACACCACCGCCAGCGAAATCAGCGCCCTCCTTCTCCGCCTGCTCAACAAGCTTGGGCATCTGCTCAGCAATATCCTCGGCAGACGACGCCATGAGCGCGCCAAAAGCCTTCTTCAAGAACTTCTTCTTCTCATCGGTAACACCCTCGTCACCATCTTTAGCAACCTGCGCAAACTCCTTCGCAGCTTCTTCGCCCACGAGCGCTCTCAGCGCAGGCACTGTGTCGAGGAAGTGAGCGATCTCATTGAGGGGTCGGAAACCGCAGAGACCCTCAAAGGGGGTAATGGCGATGGCCATTTCGGGCTTGTGGTTGTCATCGGGGTAGTTCTTTGCGTCGCGAGCGTGGAGTTGCTCGGCGAGTTTCTTGTTGGGGTGGGCTTGGATCGAGAGCGCTTTTGCGATGGAGAGCACCTTGAAGAGGAAGGGGAGCTTGTTGCCGTAGTGGGAGGAGATGGTTTGCGAGAGGAGGGACTGGTTGTCCTCGCAGAGATCGAGGAGGGTTCGGCCGGTGTTGAGGTCTCGAGAAGGGTTCGAGGGATGAGTTCCCATCCACAACTGCGCAGGCAATTCTTAGTATGGGTTATAGACACACATCATGTAGATGCTCACCTCTGCGTATGGAGTATCAGACTCGATCTTCAGGTCATCGGAGGGCGTAGCGGCCGCAAATCGCGCAGCGGCAGAATCGTTGCCCTTCTTTCCCCAGGCGTACGAGTTCACGCCGCATTGCAGACGAAGTAGAGGAACCTGCATGTTTGCGATGTTCGTTGTTGGCGGTGAATGCGACAATGAAGCTATAGCTTAGCTTGGAGGGGTCAAATGTCTAAAATCGAAGCGCAGGTCTCTGCCTTGGATGTAAAATCTTCTAAGCTATCAATCGCAAAGAAGAAAAGAAAATATCAGGAATTGCAAAGTTGGCCAAACAGAAAACAGATGATGACAGCAGTTATGACGGAGCCCGTGGAGGGGAAGTCACAGCATTACCCATCAGTTACGTTAACCCCCCATCACCCAAATTTAGCTTCCCCGTCCCCTCACCCTTCAGTGAACCACCTGCACTCTAACCGCTATAACGACGGGACACGAACGTGGTGATTCCGGGCTCTTGTAGGAAAAAGTACCGGAGTAGCTCCGTTTTTAGAACGTCCAAGAACCCCGCTGTGGGCCTAAAACTATCGACTCGCCATACCAGGGGTTTTATATTGCAACTCAAGGGCTATCATTTGGTGTGATGACAACTATTCGATAGTCTTGTCTGCGGCTTCCAAATATACCAACTGTCACTCAGAAGACGATTCATAGCAAGATTGGTGAACATTGGGTACACATCATAAAGATACATGTTATCGAGGAGCAGACTCACTAACGAGTACTAAATGCTCAAGGTGCTGCATACATGTACACAGGTGCTTCGTCAAACGACGTCAGCTCTTTCATCTAACTTAGCTTAGACAAAGTCCAGTCACTCACTATCCATCCATTATCCGACCAGTTCCTACTCTCAATCTTGACTTTCACCATTTTTTGTTGTCCGAAAATAAAGCAATGTACAGACTTATGCACCCAACAGAACAGAACAGACCAAAACACCTCGTTTCCCTTCTCCCAGAACTTCGAGGTCTGATAACTCATGCAGTCCGGGCCCAATGGTATGACTGTGTTCACCCACGCAGCAACCTGCTTTCCTCTCTTGTACCGAAAGACTCCAAAATCAAGAGCTGCAAGGCAAGGCAAGACGAGGCAAGGCCCTGGGGATAAAACGCCAGAGGAGGTCAAAGCTAGGAAAAGAGCGATATGCTGCACACTTTGACGACCAATCATGCAAATAAAATGGAAAAAGCAGAAAGAAAAGAAAAACACGTAACTCATGTATCGGGGTGGGAGATAAGACTCGACCGAGGCGCCACTGTAGCACAAACCAACGCTTGACGTGCTTCCCCGGTGAACGCTGTGCTCATCGTCTTGCGAATTTTCTGGAGGACTAACAGGCTCCCAAGTCAAGTTGTTCCGACGGCGGGACGATCGATGAGTAATTCGTCCATGACAAGCGAGCTGACATTGGTTGGGCATTCGTCCCATCACAACATATAGTGTGCGTTTTCGTGCCTCGCCAACGACCTCAACTACGTTGACCACGTAAAGACCAAAACCATTGCAACAACATACAGTGAAAAGAAAATGGCAATGGCCAAAATGCCTATCCAAATGAAAACATAGCGCACTGTAAAACCTCAAAACCGTGTATCAATGCAAGCAAACAATGTACAGTGATACTAGCCGCAGCTCATCCGAGTTGTCCTGCTTCGTATCAAATAGATCTCAAGCTCGCAGCGTCCCCGTGGCCTTGCGGTAGCTGTCTGCGGCGGCGTCTGCCCCAACGCTTCCAAGATCGCCAGGAGGCATCATGTAAGCTGCAGATTGGTGCGTCATGTAATGCGAGTTGCTGTGGCCCAGCGGGAAGGATGATATGCCACCGCTGTTAAGGGTGGGCATGTCACGACGAGCAGTAGTTGGAGGTGCCGCAGCGACTGAGTTGGTTGTGTCTATGTAGCGGTACGTCATCTCAGGGCCCTGACGCATGGAATCGGCCGGTCCCAGCACGGGTGCATCCGAAGAGTTAGCGTAGGAGTAGTAGTCGTTGCTTTGGCGGCCGTATTGAGAAGCGAGGTTCGTAGGATACGAGGGCAGACAGCCCGAGGTGGAGGACATGCTTGAGGACTCGTAACTCGTGTAACTCGAGGGCGCCTCGGAGGTGCTGCTCACAGGCGACGTATCCGATGTCGAAGCTTGCGACGACTTGCTGCTGCTGCTGTAGATAGAGCTACCAGAATCGTTCTTGTAAGACGATCCCATCGAGTTGGGTAGCGCAGTCCGGCCCACTGGTGCGGGCAAAAGCCTGTCCCCCATATTGACGCTTGCTGCCATGTTCTGGAAACCAAGGCTCTTCGAGTCAGTAGGGAGGTTCTGATAACCCAGGCTCTTGGTGGAGTCTGGCATCATGGTCTGGTACGCGAGGCTTGCCGAGTCCGTAGTCACTGGAGCAGGTCGATGTACCAGGCTCGTGACACTGTTTGGACCACTGTAGGCGTAGTTTGGCTCCATGTCCACGCAGAGGGCAGACTTGCCTGGGGTTCCAGAGGCGATTCGATGGCTGATTGCATATTCCGAGTCATGAACTGAGGAGTAGGGTGCTTGGTACATGCTGTTGTAGTAGCTTTGATCATCCGCGTATCCATGACTCCAGGTTGCAAGGGGGCAGTACGGCTTCGCACCATATCCATAGGTAGTAGGGGCCCGATAGACAAATGGATCACTGGTGTAGGATGGCACGCCATCAGCATACGCTGGGGTAGTCGAGGGCAGGGACGATATGGCAGAGCTTCCTCTCGCCTGGTACTGTCGAGAAGCTTCAAGGTTGTAAGTAAAGCCTTCACTCTTCACAATAGGTGCTTCATGAGACGAAACCTAGTCCATAGTGTAAGCAGTAAACTACACAGCATCACTCCACGTGGAAACATACTCTGAGGAATTGGCAAGGCTCGTGGCCTGCATTCTTGCAGTTGGTGCATGGTATTCCGTTGCCAACATCGCCACTGCAACGAATCTTCCTCTTTCGACACCGACCACACTGAATCTGTCGTTAGCCCGCTACACAATTATGTAAGTCTCGCACACACACCACACACCAGGTAAGGAAGGGAATGGGGGAGGTTTGCACTTACTGCTACCGCGATGCGCTTCCTCTGGGGAGTCACATCGTCGTCCCTCTCGCTCATGATAGTTGTCCTCGTGTCAGGATGAATGGGGTAAGCGGCCCCCCGACGCTCCGGGTATGAGAAGATATTCACCCGGCTCGGCCCAAATCGCCGCGGATCTGTCGAGTAGCAGTTTGGACTGACCATTGTGCCGGTCCAGTTACGGGTACTCGAGTAGTGAAAACGAAGGACTAGAGTCTAATTCAAGACTCAAAGTGGCTGTATGTCGAACTGCCTCATAGAGATTGGCAATCTTCCTTGTTGGGTGATGCCTTGTCACAGGAGTAGTCTCAAAAGAAGATCCCACGGCTGTCAAAAGACAAAGCCCAGAGCTTGAAGTCGTTCCCGGATTGCAAGCACTCGTCCGTCGGGACTCTCGGCAACTAAGGGACTCTAAGTAAACAATGGGTTTGTTGCCGTGGATTTGCTGAACAGTTGAATGAAAGATTATGATTACCAGTTCCCGTCAACTTCGGCTTGACAGAACTCGGAGTTTTTGAGGAAGCAGAAATCAATGAGACAGAAAGAAACAAGAGATCCAAAGACCAGCAGATCTGCGGTCGATGGCATCCTGATATACTCCGTGCCACTCACTGACTTAGACCGCTCCTGGGTATGGCCGTTTGGATAGTGTTTGCTTCGCCCAAGCTCAACGACGACTTGCCCTTCCTACCAATAAACGGCCCTAATCTTTGGCAGCACCGAGTAGATCCACATCAATCAGGGAGTATGGAATATCGAGGCACCTCCTCCGGTGCTTTGTGCAATGGAGAGACACCTCGTACAACAGATGACATTTGCCCAGAGCCCTCCCTCAACGTCCTCCTCACCTATCAGTGCTACGCAAAAATTGTCTGGCTGGAGGCTACTAGCTTTGCGAGAATGCCACGGATAACAACAGGTGGCTTGCATGATGGCAGGATTACCATGAGGCAGCGATCCATCACTATCATGGCATTGATTGAGCGAATCCAAACAGCGAATCCAAACGGGCTTCCAGCCTAAAATGGCAGCAGCCAGATCTAGTTGATCGGGCTTGGGCTTCCCCAGATCGTATGAGATGCAGATGGCCTCGCCTGGGCTGGACTATTCAGAACCTGAAACGAACATCCCCACACGGACTGCCTCTATTTGGGGTGGACTGAGTCGTGTTGAAGTCATAGAAATTGCTCTTCAAGTACACAGTTGAGGGTGCGACTGTGCTGCCATGCCATACGACACTTGAAGCGAGACGTCGGCCGATAAGCAAGTCCGTACAGATCTGACACTGCAACAACCGAGCTAGTCCAAGATCCCAATCCGTTTTGTTTGTCAAACAGCTCCTGTTCCTGTCTTGGGACAATGGAAGCACTCAAGCTGTAGTCAAGACGAGACCGTCTTAGCCCATAACAGCAGACGGATATTATGTCTGGGGCAGTAGTTGGCAAACCCCACCGAGACACAAGACCTTGACAGACAAGGTCAAGCCTGCAATGGAACCACGAAGCCCAGTTAGCCCAGTTGTGAATCCAAACGATTGACTGATCTAGCCTCCGTCAGAACTTGGAGTGCAGAGATACCTTTCGCTTGTCGCGCAACGTACGCTAGTCGTCAAGAAATGTAGCGACTTGCTGCTTTTGATCCAGTTGTGTAACAGGCGTGCACTACAGTAATCGACAGGTACTTCGGTATATGAAGCACGCACAGTGGGCTTTCAACCATGGAGCTCTGGACCTTGTCCCTTGCAATTGTCTTGTCTGATCTTGTCTTATACACGGGTCATCTACAATCCATGCTAACGATCAACGAATCTCGATAGAATCGCAGCCTCTTGACCCGGTACCTGGGTGGTGGTGGGTCTATAACCCTTGCTGGTGTGTGCGGTAATATCGAAGCCAAGATACTGTTGCAGATACCAATGTTTCAACAACAAACACCTGAAAACGTGGTTTGCAAGGCATCAACCCAATGCTGGTGCCCATGGAAAGAAACTCTTCCCGTCAGTCCAGGGGTGAGACT